GTGCTCCCCAGCTGACCCGCCGGGCCGCTGCTGTCCCTCCCCTGCCCGGGCAGGTGGAGGGCTCCGTCCCGTCCTGACTGCCCTCTGCGGTCTGGGACCCGGTCCCGTCTTCTTCTTTTCTAACCACGAAGTAAAGTACATCCTAAGATGTGCTCGCACATTACAGGCAGCCAAGTGACGGAAGGTGGCGGACACACTTAGGTCGAGCGGGGGCGCCGCTGGTGCCGCGGGATCGGCTGGTCGGCTGGCCTTCCCCGCTCCCTCGGCTTTCTCCGGGCTTGACGCAGAGGGCTTCCCCGATTTTCGGTGTCGTGCCACCTCAGCGTGCGTTCCTAAACCCCAGATTTTGGTTTTGCCTGTTTCTGAATCTAACGTAAAGGGAATCATGCCATGTGTTCTTGTTACTTTGAATTATACGTGTATCAATTTCATTCCATACCATTTCTGGCTCTAATACGGTACGCAGAGTTTACCTCAGGTGTGACTATAAAGTTTTTAAGACCTTGATGATGCCCTTGTGAGACTGTGCTCAGACTTCCGTTGTTAATGGTCGGTGCTTTGTGGTAGATTGCCAGATCTTTAGGTAAAGCACTCAAAAGTTCGCAGAAGCAGTTCGTTGGAGTAGCATAAAAAAGTACTCCGTACACTTCTGTCGCTCTCAAAAGTGGGATTCGACGTATGTGAAGTACTGTTGCTGGTCAGCAAGTTTGAAAACGCTGCTGCATCTCAGGCCTAACAGGAGCACAAAGCTCTGGTCATGCGGTCCTGGGGGGACTTGCCTTCACACAAAGGGCCGGCTCTACAACAACCCTGCCCCATTTGGGAAAAGCCTTTTCATCCTGGGAGTGTTTGGCAGCTTTCATGGAGCTCACACTTCTGGCGAAAGCTTTCTCATTTTTGGGAATAGCTTGCAAGGCATTGTGTACGGAAACACACGATACTTTTGCGGAAAAGCCGAAATGCCACAGTCGGTTAGTTTCAGTTTATACCTAAGTTATTTCAGAGAAAAGTCAAACTAAAGACGTTATTTTTAGTCTTTAGTCTTTTTCTGCAGTTGGGAATACACATTTCATGGTCTTCGTTTGCTCGTGCTTTATTTTATTAATGCCTTTTTTATTTTTTTAATATTTTATTTTTGAGAGAGAGAGAGAGAGAGCAGGGAAGGGGTGAAGAGAGCGGGACAGAGGATCTGAAGTGGGCTCTGCGCTGACATCAGAAAGCCCGACGCGGGTCTCAAACTCCTGAACCGTGAGATCATGACCTGAGCCTTGGACACAACCTATTGAGCCACCCAGTGGCCCCTTATTAATGTCAGTTTTAGCCTGGAAAAAACCATATGGATGGTATCAGATACTTACCACGTTTGTCTCATAGAAAATCTTGTTTGTCTGAAGACCATTTCTTATCACTTGGAGAATTTCAGAGTTTTCAACAGTTTCCTGTTACATAGTTTAGAGTTTTTGTTGTCATACTTTCTGCCTTATTATCTTGGTGGTTGGAGTTACTTGCAATCCATTTCTTTAAAATGAGTAGAGGGGCGCCTGGGTGGCTCAGTTGGCTAAGCATCTGATACGAACTCAGGTCATGATCTCATGGTTTGTGAGTTCGAGCCCCACATCGGGCTCTGCACACTGACAGTGTGGAGCCTGCTTGGGATTCTCTCTCTCCCTCTCTGTCTACTCCTCCCTAGCTTTTGTGCTCTCGCGCACGTGCGCTGTCTTAATAAATAAACGTTCAAAAATAAAATCAGTAGAAAATAAGGTTAATATGTAAGGTTAATCGTTAAATCAACTTTTTTCTCATAGTGAATTAATAGTAGGTTTTAGCAATAAATCTGTACATTTTTCAAAATATTTATTTATTTATTTATTTATTTATTTATTTATT